TTCCCGCCACTGTTCATTTTGATAATATTTTGAGCCTATTTTGAACGTTTTAAACTGGCGGCCGACAGAAGAATGTAGCGTACAATAAAATATAACTTTACTTGTGGGCATAAACGCCGGAATTTTCCCCTCTTGTTTATGGATAATTTGGGTAAAATTGGCAGGAGCCTTATGGATAATTGGGGGGAAAATTAGGCAGCTCATTAATATTTTATTTTGTGGCTATCAACGACGATCAGAAATCCGACATCCACCATGCGTGCTGAAACCTATACTCGTCTGGGGCACAAGTGCCCCAGCGAGTAATTAATGTACATGCACAAATTTGATTTTGTAAATTTCAATTACTAAACAAATAAACCGTCTTGAGTCTATTGGGACAAATGAATAGTAGGTTATTGATCAATCACGTTAATTTAATTTAATTTAATTTCATTTCATTTAACTTCACTTCATTTTATTTCATTTCATTTAGGTGAACGTTTTTGCAATTTGACACTGATTCGGTTTTCTCCAACCCCCACTTGTCTTGAACTTTTTGTTGTTCCCTTGGCTGTAATCGTTCTTTTATGTTAGAAGTAAGATGAATCGATCGCTATAAAATAAACGCAAAGTAAACTTATTGCATTACATTACCTTGATAACGAGATCAAAATATCCAATTTCATCATCAGACGTGACGGGTGTGTAAGGTCTTATTACTAAACTGTCATTAATCCTGGCACTTAAATACATGTGCTTACCTAAAAATGAAAATGCATTATAATGTGTGTTGTTTCATAATGGTTGTCTAATAAAAGTCATCCTGTGCAGAAAAGGAGCAAATCATTACAAATAAAAGGGTAAGTGTAACACTATTTGGGTTATTTTATCTCACTTCCTACTATAGTCTGGTTAATGTAACCAGTGCATGTGCAATCTGGTTGCTGGTTATATACTTGACTAGGGACGTCTTTATAATTTTCAGAAAGTTTCGAACAAACTATATGCTAGGTATAGATATATAAGCAGATCCCTTGGTTATATATATACCTAGCAGAAAGTCCTGGTCAAATTAACCAGACTATAGTAGAAGTTGAACTAACCAGGAAATTTAACCAGGAATATTAAGTTAACCCAATTAGGCCTAAACAGTCTGTGCCAGTTGGCCACTAACTTCCCAACGCTCGAAACGTCGAATTTCACTTTGTGTTTTTCAGGTATAGTTGCATCCCTACCAACGGAAACTTGGGTTCCCGCTATGGACTCATGTGAAGAGTGTCAACGCTCTGCCGAAAGTCGTGGGTTTTCTCTGGGTGCTCCGGTTTCCTCCCCACAGGGAAAGTTGACAGAGTGTGTTAGTACTTAGGGTAATTGTTGAAAGATAAGATACTTAAGAAAGTAATATCACAATTGTTGCAAAGATAAAATAGTCTAGGCTCAGTAAGTAATAGACCTTATGCATAATGACGTCACATGGCTTGATGCCCGCGAGGAATGCTGGTCTTAGTAGTCATCGCCCAGGAAAATTAAACAATTCAAAATGGCCACCATCGAAATTTTCCCGGGCGATGACTACTAAGACCAGCATTCCTCGCGGGCATCAAACCTTGTGACGTCATTATGCATAAGGTCTATTAGGTAAGCGTAAGTGCGTAATACTTGATGTAAAGCACATTTGATCATATCCACATGTAAATTTGCGCTATAGAAATGTTAATCGTAATCGTAAGCACCGTTTAATGACCATGAGTTAGTTAGCTTCGTATTCTCTCCTAAATCCCACGACATTCACACGAAACACGTATGAAACATTCCACGCATTTTTACACCAGGTACAATATCTTAGGGTCACATTCACGGACATTCTAGACTCGAATTTGTCGTTGTCTGTTCAGTTGTAAGACACATTCCAGTGCATGCAGATGACGTAATAAAGAAGGCGAGGTCAGAACAAGTGATTCACGAGCCGTCGAAGCGTGTGGGTCACTAAAGAGCCTAAGCAAAGAACATTTTGACAACACATACGCTAACTGGAAGTCAATCAAACCGTTGTAGATGGCGAGTGATGGCGTCAGCAGTTCTTGCCTGAAATCAAGAACGGCAGTCAATGGTGTTTCACGTCATGATTTCATCTATAATGGCTCGATTGACTTCCAGTTGGCGAACGGGTTGTCAAAAACGTCGCTTCCTTACAGTTATGTAATAACACATGCATAACATGAGTACGGTGCTACAATATTATCCTGTTAAGCTCGGTTTCCATCAAGTACGCTTTGCCCGTGCGGGCGAAGCGGACACTATGAGCAAGCGCCGTAAAGTTATCGCCTGACTACGAGCCACTCCCTTGTGACGCACCTGCACCCTCTGAAAGTAGAAAAAAATCACCTTTCAAAGCGTGCCCGCGCAGGCAAAGCGGAAGTAATGGAAACCGGCTTTTAGGGACGATCACCCTCGTCCAGATGTCTCTTGCAACACTTGAAGAAATGAAACCCAACATGTTTTCCCAAAAGTGTGAAATTCCACACAATGAAGAAAACATTTCCCAATTATTACAGTACTCACCAACGGGAAGACCCAGCACGTGATTTGGTGTTTGAAGAGCAAATCTGAACCGCCTGGTATCATGGCTAATGGCCTAATTATAAAAAAATCAAGGTTACCATTAACGACTTATTACATATGGTCCACGAATCGTGAATGATTTAGGTTACATGTATATACACTTAGCCAAATGGTAGACCCTCACCGAATTTAAACGACTTGTTAAATTCGTGAATTTCAAAATTCATGATGATATCTTCTGATACTCTTGTTGGACCGAATAAAGATGAACAAGAATGTCAGACTTGATGAAGATAAGCTCTTGTTTCAAGAATTTGAGATGTAAAGCTCCTAGATGTGAACTTAATATCTGTTGAAAAGATATCACTCCGATAAATAACATGCAAATACAATTCTGGAAGGAAATCGCTGTTTAGTAATACAGCAAGACCAAAAAATAATTGGGGTAGTGCCCCTCCTGCAACAATGCACGACTCCCAACTCTCATCAACTCTGATCCTCGTTTAAACGGGGACTTAAATAGCACCAGACAAGTTTTTGCCGGGATAAAAAATTGCACTGATTTTTGCGAAAACACTTGTGAAATGTGTTGAAATAAAACTAAGAAGTACTTTTCGATTCAGGCAATAAACTTTCCATGAAATATCTCGCTAAAATTGTCAGTGTAACAAATACACAAAATCACAGTAGACTGTACAGTAGCTTAAGACCATGAGGCGTATAAGAACCTAGATTTTAAGAACCTGTTAGGCTAAATTTGCTTATTAGACCCCTTTTTATACAAGAACTTGTTTAGGCTAAAATTTCAAACAGGTTTTTATTTTATTTTTATCACTCTAAGAGTTGAAACTAAAAACTTATAAATCAAAGAAAACAAACTCCTCACAAAGTAATGAAAATGACCCAGAAGTAAAAATCTTGGGCATGTCATAACATAATAAACAACATGTCTGGGGCCGGTTGTATCAAAGGCGTTTAACTCGCTATCCGCCGGATAAAATTTAAACGCTCGAGAAATCGCGTTGTATCAAGCCCGTTTAGCGCTATCCACCGGTTAAATTTTGCCTATCCACCGTGTAAACTTATACGGTCTCTTGAGACCGTTTAAATCGCTAT